CACAGCATGTGGCCATCAAATTTTGTATACTTTAAATACAAACACATTTTATTTTTAGTACTTTAGATTATTGCCATCAACAGAACACAAGTGATGAAAATCTTTTTTTTTTTTTTTTTGTTTGTTTGTTTTTTTTTTGTTTTGTTTTTTGAGACGGAGTCTCGCTCTGTCGCCCAGGCTGGAGTGCAGTGGCGCGATCTCGGCTCACTGCAAGCTCCGCCTCCTGGGTTTACGCCATTCTCCTGCCTCAGCCTCCTGAGTAGCTGGGACTACAGGCGCCCGCCACCGCGCCCGGCTAATTTTTTGTATTTTTAGTAGAGACGGGGTTTCACCGTGGTCTCGATCTCCTGACCTTGTGATCCGCCCGCCTCGGCCTCCCAAAGTGCTGGGATTACAGGCGTGAGCCACCGCGCCCGGCCGAAAATCTTGATTATAACAATATAATTAGTGATCTTGCTAAAATAAAGATTTTATGAAATAAATAAAAATAAGCTGTGGCCAGTTGCAGTGGCTCACACCTGTAATCTCAGCACTGAGGCTGAGGCAAGCAGATCACTGAGGTCAGGAGTTCAAGACCAGCCTGGCCAACATGGTAAAAACCCATCTCTTCTAAAAATATAAAAATTAGTTGGGCATGGTGACACATGCCTGTAATCCCAGCCACTTGAGAGGCTGAGGCAGGAAAATAACTTGAACCTGGGAGGCGGAGGTTGCAGTGAACCAAGATCTTACCTCTGCACTCCAGCCTTCTAGCCTGGGTGACAGAGCGAGATTCTGTCTCAAAATAAATAAATAAATAAATAAATAAAAAGTAAACGAATGTAAATATAAACATAGGCAAATTTATTTTATGTTTTCAAGAGGGTTTTTATTCCATAAAATGATCTATTAAAATGAAAACAATACCCATCACAACGAATGAAGATCAGATTTTTAAATAAAATCTTTAAATAGACATGAAATATTAATTCAATTTTTGAAAATTTTATAGAAATGAAACTATTCACAGTTCTAGTATTCAATGTCCATCTAGTTGCAAATTTAAAGAATACCAGACTTCGTGTTACATTAATGTGAGTTGCAGAATATTATAAGATGTTCCTCAGCCACCATGTGCATTTTTGTGAATATCACACTAATTCATGAGTACTTTTAGAACCACAAATTGGAGCAGGAAGAAATGCCAAAATAAAGGATGCACAGCAGGGCTGGAATAGAGATGCTTGCTTATGCAAGAAACTCGTGCTCGCTGCTGTCTGGGAGGAAGGCTTTGACAAGCTAACTTGTGTCTCCCTTGTATATTTTTGCCATTCAGGCCCCCCCCCGCTGCACCCCTCCCCCAAGCAGCATCCATCTCCCCCCTCAGCAGCAACACGACCCGTAGACCTTTACAGCATCTTAACAGAATCACCTTTTGTTCTTCAAGTTCAAGAAATGGAAAGGCCTGGCATGGTAGCGTGCCTGTAGTCCCAGCTACTCGGGAGGCTGAGGCCAGAGGGTTGCTTGAGCCTGGGAGTTCAAGCCTGTAGTGTGTTATGACTGTGCCTGAGAATAGCCACTGCACTCCAGCCTGGGCAGCATAGTAAGACCCAGTCCCCAACTCATGCCTTTAAAAAAAAAAAAAAGAAAAGAAACAGAGAAGAGTTTAACCGGAGCCTTACAGGTGTTAATCAGGAGCAAATGTTTAGGATTACAGGTCACATGAGTGTAATGTGACAGAGGCTCCTGTGTACTCTAATGAATTTATTTGTGAGTGTGTGAGTGTGTGTGTGTGTGTGATGTGTGGGGCCCCCTTTTCCCTGTGTAAGGGTGTTCGGGGGGTGAATCTTCTTGCCAATAAAGAGTTCTCTATCATACAGTGAACAATAGACAAATGATAGATCTTATGCTATAGCTACAGTTTTACATCTAGGTATCTTTTTTTTTTTTTTTTCCCGAGACAGAGTCTCGCTCTGTCGCCCAGGCTGGAGTGCAGTGGCCGGATCTCAGCTCACTGCAAGTTCCGCCTCCGGGGTTCACGCCATTCTCCTGCCTCAGCCTCCTGAGTAGCTGGGACTACTGGTGCCCGCCACCTCGCCCGGCTAGTTTTTTTTTTGTATTTTTTAGTAGAGATGGGGTTTCACCATGTTAGACAGGATGGTCTCGATCTCCTGACCTCGTGATCCACCCATCTCGCCCTCCCAAAGTGCTGGGATTACAGGCTTGAGCCACCGCGCCCGGCCCCATCTAGGTATCTTAATTCACTCATTCATTTCACTCATGTGCATTTGTTCATTCACTTAAAACCCTATATTTGCAAGGTGCAGTGACTCACGCCTATAATCCCAGCACTTTGGGAGGCCAAGGCGGGTGGATCACCTGAGGTCAGAAGTTCAAGACCAGCCTGGCCAACATGGTGAAACCCTGTCTCTAGTAAAGATACAAAAATTAGCTGGGTGTGGTGTGTGCCTGTAATCGCAGCTATTCAGCAGGCTGAGGCAAGAGAATCACTTGAACCCGAGAGGCAGAGGTTGCAGTGAGCCGAGATTGCACCATTGCATTCTAACCTGGGCAACAAGAGCGAAAGTCTGTCTCAGAAATAAAATAAAACCCTGTATTCACTTGCTCCAACCCTTCATTTCATGTAGATTACCAGGCTATAGCAGTCTTTTAGTGCAGTCCATGATCCTATGAATGAGGATCAGAGAGGGTACTGATACTGATGTACCTAAGACGTACAGCCAGTCCACAGCAGAAAAGTCCTCAGGCCAGGCAGCAAAAAGTGGAGGGTGAGTGCCAAGTTTGAATGTCAGGTAAAATCTGAGCAGATGTTGCTGTGTCCCAATCAGCTTCCCTTCCTTCACCAGCTTCCACTACTAAGCCATCTGCCCCAGGGCACTGGGGGATCCTGCAGGGAGTTTCTGCTTGAAGAGCCTCTTCCTGTTTGGGGCCGAGCGCTTCCTTCAGTGACTCACAGCCTCCCATTGGCCCCGTGCTGGGAAGGCAAGGTGGGAGTGGAGCCAGACCCGGGCGTGTCACCCTCAGCCTGAGACCCCAGCTGGGTGACCTGACACAGGATAGTGGGCACAGGCTGGAGGGAGGAGGAGGGGAATGGCAGGAGGATGTGAGACCATTCTGCCTCACCCAGCCTGGTGGGCAGGATGGAGAGAAGACAGAGTGGGGATGGGGACGGCCTCCACGTCCAGCCAACCCCACAGGTAGTTTCCAGGGCAGCTGTGGGACCAGGTAAGGCTGACAGCAGAGCTGAGAGCCCTGAGGAGACTCTGCGGTACTTTCTTTTCTGACAGGCCATAAAGTGTGGTGGAAGGAGCACTGGGACGGAGTCACGGACTTGTATTTCTCACACCAACTTTCTGGTGGTCATTTCAGTTTTCTGACCCTATCTGGGCCTCAATATCCATGTCTGTCTGATGGGGAAGCGGTTTGATGGCTGTGACGTTTTGTGCAGCTTATAGGTTTGAGCTTGAATTCTGGCTCTGCTGCCTTGCTGGGTGTGTTCACTTCTCAGAACCTCCATTTCAAAATCTGAAATAATAGTCACTTTAAGTGTTTTATGTATGGTAACTAATTTAATCCCCACACTGACCCTATGGGGTAGGTTTTATTATTCGTAGTATTTTATACCTAAGGAGATTGAGGCACAGAAAGGTTAAGTAATTTGCCCAAGGTCACACAGTAAGAGCCAAGATTCTAACTTGTGTAGTTTGACTCCAGGTCCCATGCTCTTGACTCATTCTGGCCTTGCTCCTCAAATTGTGGCCCAGGGACCTGCAGCATCAGCATCACCTGGGAGCTTATCAGAAATGCAGAATCTCAGGCCCCAGCCTAGACTTACTGAGTCAGACTGCATTTTAACAAGTTCCCTAGGTTTCTGAGGTCCAAGGCCCCAGGAAATATAAATAGACCATGGCTTCTCAAACATTAAAGTTTAGAGGAGAAGCCACTGGTCTATTTTTATTTCCTCTGCCACTTAGGCCTTAGGATCATTGTAGGGGGTAGAGGAAATAAGTATGTTTTATAAACTGTAAAGTGCTGTACATTCAGGGCACTGTGAGAAACCTGGGGACTGGAGGTGGAGAGGGGCAGGCCTGGTAGTGTCCCAAGTGCTGATCTCTCAGTGGCTGTCATTTCCCAGCTGTCTCTGAGTCCAGCTCTGTCCACCTCTGGTTCACACACAGAGACGTGTGTTTGACTGTATGTTTCTTGCCAGTGTGTGGCTCTAGAGTCCAGTTGGGTTGGGGAGAGTTGTCATATTGGCACCAGGAGGCTCAGGTCCCAGCCCTGGCTCTGCCTCTGTGTGATGTAGGTAGGCCTCCGTCCCTGCAGCCTCAGTGTCCCTAGTAGACAAGGTGCTAGCATCCTCTGAAGCCTGCAATGCTGACCTGCAGTCTCCTCCTCACCTCTCCTGGCCCCTCTGCTTCCCGTGGCCTGTCGATACCATCTCTTTTCCCAGTTCCTGGGCGGGGGGTTGCCCTGCTGGCTGCAGGAGCTGGTGATGGGGGAGGTGGTGCATGAGTCAGAGCTCAGGCACGTAATTGTGGTGCCCCAGATCCCACCTCCGGGCTACCGTCCTTCCCTTAGCGGCTGCTTTAGAAGAACAGCTGGTTTGGCAGCTACCTCAGAGAAACAGGTCCCTGGGCAGCGTGAAAGGGCCTCTGCCCCCAGGGTGGCTGAGCTTTGGATCCTGGGTCCGTGGGTCCTGGAGGGACAGGAGTGGTTCAGGGAACAGGTTGTATGGGTTGGGCCTAGGGCTGGTTTGTGGGCAGCATGCGTGGAGGTGGATTGCATGTGCCGGGTTTCATGGCTGGGGATTAGATCACGTATGTCCTTTCAGCCCTCCCACCAGCTTTGTGGCTTCCCCAGGGCAGGGACTTGGTGTCACCCATCACTGGGCCCCACACTCAGCATGGGATGGGCACTCACTAAGGGTCAAGTGGGACAGTAGAAGGCAGGATGAACTGATGAATGAACTCACTGGGTTTATCCCCTTTTCCTCTCAGCTCTCCCAGTGAAGTGATATCACTGCCTCTGTGGACAGGACACCCCCAGGAGCCCAGCTCACAGCCACTGGTACCTTCTTCCAGGTAAAGAGAAAAGGAGGGAGGGAGAAAGGAGTTCAAGACAGGCTGCAGAGGGCAGCTGTCTGGGTTCTTTCACAATGTCCACCTCCCCCATGGGGGCAGCACTCTACGGTTTATGAAAAGGCATAAATGGGATTATTGTCCCATTTTATGGACAGGAAAAACTGAAGCTCTGAGTAGACTTGTCTCTTGCTTAGTACAGCGTTCCAGGTACTTGTCTGAGAGCCCATGAGGCTGATACCATGGTTATCCCCACTTTATAGTTAAGGAAGCTGAGGTATAAAGGCATTTAGAAACTTGCTCCATTAAATACATGGTAGAGCTGGGTTTCAAACCCAGCCAGGTCGCCAGGCATGGTGGCACGTACCTGTAGTCCCAACTACTTGGGAAGCTGAGGCAGGAAGATCGCTTGAGCCCAGGAGTTCAAGTTCCAGTGAGCTATGATTGTGCCACTACACTCCAGCCTGAGTGACAGAGTGAGACTGTCTCTAAAAAAAAAATTAAAATAAATAAAAACCCAGGCAGGCTGACCTCTTCACAAACCCTGTGATTTACTGCCCCTCAAGAGCCCAGCATTAAACTAAGTTTCCTTGACCTCCAATCTGAGGGTTGAATGGGCTCCCAACTCCAGAGAAGATTTATATTTTAAAAGAGAATCCTAGAGAAAGTGATGCTTCCTCCAAAGGAATGAATGACAAATAGTGGATTTGGAGGCCTTATATCATGGAACTGGCATGAACCTTCAAGGTGGGCCAGCCAACTCCTGGGACTTTCTTCCTCAGCATTCAAGCAAGCTCGGTTTTCATTGGTCACCAAGGTGAAACCTGGCCATTTGAAGGAAGAGAGGAAAAGTTTAGGCCCCAGGTTCTCCGACATGCCTGGAAGCAGGGAGACTGCTGCTCTTTGCAGAAGACTGTGAAGAGTAGCAGTGTTCATGACAGTTATGAAATTAGTATCCTGTGCTAGATCTGGGGTCATCTTACACTAGATATGGTATAGAAATGTGCAAATGGATATCAGAGGTTTAAGAAAAATTTGTGAGAGAAAAGTACCTAATTTAGTTTTCTTTTTTTTCTTTTTTTTTTTTTTAGTAACTTAATTTTTTTCTGTAAATTGGGAAAAGGCTAATTATTATTCAGAGGCAGAATTCAGGCTTTCAGAAGTGGCTCTGCAGTTGTGTGGTGTAAGATGCTTTGATTGGTTCTTTTTTTCCTTCCGTCTTGCATTTAACCAGCTTTTTGACTGACAACTAATTAGGTACCTCCTTGGTGCCAGGCCCAGTGCAGGGGACATAGGTCCCCTATACAGTGACTCTTCTGGTAAGGACAGGGCCTGGCATATCTTATGTCCCCATCACCAGGTGTGGGGCTGCAGACACTATAGGTCTTCAGAAAAGCTTGGCCAAGTGGATCAGAAGTCTGAACCTGGGGAAGCTCTCAGTCTGGCGGGCGAGGCAGCCACGGAAGCAGATAATTACAGCACACTGAGGCCTGTGATCATTCTCAGGAGCTCTGCCAGATGATGTGAGCACAAAAAGGAGGAGGCAGTGGACTTTTGTTGGGGGGAATTAGCCCAAGCTTTGCACGGGGTCTGTTTGTTAAGATGGATGGGATTTGGATTGGGATTTGGGGAGGGCTTTCCTGGCAGAGGGCCCAACCTGAGTGAGGCATGGAGGTGGGAAAGCTGGGTAGGTGTTGTCTTTGGAGCACAGTGGTACAAGGAGGGGCAGGAGAGGACAGAGACAAGATTGCTCTGTACAAGTCTCCACTGTACTCACGCTCCTCCTCCTCCTCCCCCGCCCTTTCATTTACTTGGTGTGCCCCACTTTCCCACTCCCCCTTCCCTGGGACTGAGGAAGAGCCATCAGAAAAAGCCAGCCTGGCTCCTGCAGCTGAGCCACTGGGCTCCTGGAAGGGGCTTGCACAAGTCAAACTGAGGGTGGGGGATGCTGAAAGTCTCTACTGCCCCCGAGTAGTTGTCCCGGGGCCCTTCACTCTCTCTGCCTGCTTCCCAGAGAACCTGTCAGTGTCACTGGGGGAGAAGGGGGTGGGGGCAGGATCTCTTCTGAGGATGGCCTTCCTACAGTCCTGTTGGCTTGGAGAAAACTACTCAGCCCTCCAGGGAGGGAGGGGCCTGTCACTAGGAGTATGCGAGCCTAGGGAAGCCACCGGCTGGTCTGGAGAGACTGGAGAACCACCAGCAGGAGCAGCACAGGGGATTTCTGAATGGAAGGGGAGGCTGGATGGAGTACCTCCGGGACTTTGGCGCTGATACTGTGTGACTTAGCAGTCTGAAATCCAGGGATAGTTTGAAGATGCCAGTTGAATTGTTCAATGAGGATTCCATGACACTGTGAGTCTTGGGTGAAGTGATTCTAGAGCTCCAATTTGGGGCATTTGGAGCCTGAGATTTTGAGTTCTGAGATGCTAAGCTGTGCCCTCTGGGAAAGGCCAGGTCACTTTTGGTGACTACTCAGCCCAAGCTCATAGCCCTGACCTGGGAAAGAGAAGTCCTTTCTGTACCAAGAGAACCCAAGGCCCCCGGGCAGGCTCCTGAGCTGGGGAAGAACTAGTCTACCTTCACCTCTGGGCCCTGCCAGCCTCCTCGCGAGAGGAATGACAATCAGAGGTCTCTTGGGACAGAAGTGTTGGGTAAACAGGAGGCCCTGGCATCACCGTGGAAAGAGATTAATAGTGACCCTAATTATGGCATGATTGATTCTTGGAGGCTCCGGCTGAGCCCCAGCCTTGGCCACTGAGTAACATTTCCCCAGAATGAGCAGGCTTGCAGGGCCTGGGTGGCACAGACCCCACCTGCCTCTTCACCTCAAGGCCTCTCTCCCTGCCTCCTTCCAGGCACCTCTTCCCCAAGCCTCTCCCAACTGGAAGCTGCCCCTGTGACTTAGACTTCCTTCCTGCCCCTAGGTCTGGTTACCTTCTCTGCAGATGCCGTTAGAATCTAGGGCTTCTCCGAGGCCCAGAGAGGTAGAGCGACTTCCCCAAGGCTGTACAGTGAGATGGTGGCAGCTGGGATCTCTCTGTTCAAGCCGTCAAATGAGGCTATGCAATGGAAAATAGACTGAGTCGTGAGCTGCCTGCAGGAGGCTGGGGCTGTAGAGCATAGGGCAGGGCCGGGGATGAGTGGGTTCCACATTTCACTGGTTGGGCTCTTTCCGGAATCTTTCCTGTCTCCCCCACCTCCAGCCCTCGTCCTGGGGCCAGAAATTCATTTTGTAGGTTTGGGTTTGGTTGTTTTGTTTTGGGAAACGGTCCACTCGGTGAGCTGTTTGGGGTGCCCTCTGCCCTGGGAGAAGCCCCAATCACTGCCCTCCCTGCCACCTAGGCTTCTGCTGTGCTGTCTCCGTACCTAAAATGCCCTTCCTTCTCCCCTTTGTGCTGCAAATCTTTTCTCATTGCTGAATTCTGCATAGATCTCACCATCTCCCGGAAGCCCCTACACAGTGGTCAGGAAACACAGAGTTGTGGCATCCAGAAGAGATCGTGACCCAGTCAGGAAGGGCTTCCCGGAGGAGGGGCTACCTGAACTGAGATGAGCAGGAGTTCGCCAGGCATTGAGGATAGGCAGAGGGGCTCCACGGCTAAGGTGGTTTCACAGGCACAGCTGGGTTGGGAGCAGGGATGGATGAAGTGGTAAGGAAGGACCGCAGAAAGGCCCTGGTCCTGCTCCAAGGCCATGATCCTGGAGCCCTATGGAAACAAGTCACCATGGCCCTGCACCTTTCATGCCTGGCATTTCACTGTAAGGGAAGCTTGGGGTCATCACTATTTGTGAGTCATCTAGGCCACAATGTACCTACACCTTGATCCCTATCAAAGATGGTGGAGGCTCTTGGGCAGGGCCAGAGCTCTGCCCTGGTGCTCAGGATGACCAGGTGCCTAACTTTGTTATGGGCCTTCCTGCCACTTTCATCCAAGTTTTGAACTGCGTCCTAGGAGGGTGACTGTCAGGATGCCCAGTGATTAGCCGTGGGAGCAGAGGGGAGCTCTTCCCCAGTCAGACCAGGGAGGGATCAGGGGTTGGCCTTCCCTTTTCCTCAAGCAGCCCCCTCTCTGCTTTGCTACTGGGGGTGAGGAAAGAGTGGGTAGATAAAGGGTTTTAGAAGTTGAGTGCTGGAAAGGCCCTTGGAGATCAGCCGAGGGTGCTCAAACCCTCCCATGATACAGATGGGAAAACTGAGGCCAGAGGCTTGGGGCGGTCACTCAGCCCACTGGTGTTCGAGCTAAGCCTCAGACCATCATCCCAGGGCTGGGCTGGGGTTGCGGCCCAGTGAGGACAGCCATGGCCGAGGAGAAGGGGGGTTTCTCTCCATCTGCTTGCTTGCCCCCTTCCCCAGGGCCCTAGCACAATGCCAAAGGTCGGCCTCCCATCCCCACCCATCCTGGCACTGTTGGGGGTTTTTCCTTTCCTCCCCAATGTTCCTAGACTCATTCTGCCTATGCTTTCCTGATACCAACCAAAATATTGAGCTTGGTCCTTTGAGGTACAATTTTCAGTTATACAGGTGCTGCAGCTGGCATTGACGTGGAAGGTGATAGAAACATGAACAGGCCGGCACTGTGAGGCTGCAACTATGGAGAGTCTGGACTTTAGAGTCAACAGCCCCGGGTTCAAATCCTCCCTCCTCTGTGATTAGCTGTTTGGCCTTGGGTGAATTACCTAACCTCTTGGGTGCACGTGTGTGCGCGCGCGTGTGTGTGTATGTGTGTGTCTGTGTATTTAATACACTTTTTCAAAAGCAGTTTTAGGTTTGCAGTAAAATTGATTGGAAAGTACATAGAGTTTCCATGTACCCTCCTCCACATTCTCCCTCCCCACAGTCTGGCTTATTCTTTTACATCTTATGTTAATAAGGTACATTTATTACAATTGATGAACTAATATTGGTTAATTATGATTGACTAAAGTTCATAGTTTGCGCTATGGTTCACTCCTTGTGTTGCACACTGTATGGGGTTTGACACATGTCCATCATTACTGTATCA